GGTACTTCGGTGCTAATATGTGGTTAGTGAGTGTGTATGGGGAGCTCGAGCAATTGGGCGAAAAGAACTCTGTGTCAGGCTGGCCTTCTGTCCAGAGCTACAGCTTGCTTGGTGACTAGTAGAAGAAAGGGTGACCGTCTCTGAAGATCATCAGCTGTAGGGAAGATATCGGACTTATCGAAACTGCTTCGGAAGCACCCTATACCGCAAGGTAGCCGCAAGGCGGGGTCTTCTTCCTTCCTTCTTCCTTATTCATGTAAATTATATATACGTACAAAATATATCAATGACTATGTCTCCAGGATTTTGGACTTTGCAAAGGAAGTCATGTAGAGCTGGAAGATGTCTCATTTTAATCAAAAATTTGCGAGGTATAATCATGCCTCATTAAGAAAGGCTTTGGTTATTTTTCAGATTTTCTTAAAAACTGGTTTTTCAGAAACCACTTTCTGAAGGCTCCTGAGCAGCTACCACTATAATATATCAGCATAGTTGATATCCTATAACCCACTAGACTTGGCTGGAAGAGCGAAGTGACAGTTCGCGAGATTATTTCGTAAGTACAGTTAGCCATTTAAATATACAAAGAACGTGCGATATATACGGCAACTGAAAATGTGTGCTCAAGAACAACCCTACCTAATATTTCGATTAACTGTTCATTTGTACAATTTGGTATCACATTTGATATAATTCGTTGAATATGTTGTTGAGTACATTGATAATCAGACGGATGATTCTTCATGGATATTGTTAGTAAATTTGTATAATTAGTTAAGTTTTGAACGGTATATAAAAACCAACTGTAGGATAACTGACGATTATTTTCTCTTGAACAAAATAATGTTAAACCAAAAAATTCAAATGCGTATGCAATAATAAATGATAAAAGAATGAATGAATATGACCAATAGTTCTTTTTAGCCACTTTTAATCTTTGAAGATGTAAACAACGTTGCATACTTAGAAAACCGAGAACAATAATAGAGAAACGCACATACGTTTCAAAATGAACAAATGGTATGAAGAGAACATGAAATTTTTGTGTAACCATATTGAACAGATCAATCAGAAAATTCTGAGAACATGATTGATGAAGATAACGATAAAATGAATGTTGTTGATGATAAAACAGTTTTATTAGACGAAGACCAAGATAAATGGAATCAGCCAGCAATAATGCAATAAAATATGGTGTGATTATACGTGAACGAAATTTACGTCGTAAGAAAACAACGATACATAAAATATTACCAAACGTACCGATAAAAAAGAATATGCCACCGATAAAAGTACAAAGGATAACCATCGTTCTGGTCTTTGGGCTTTATCTGAAAAAAGGAACACATGTATAAAGATAGAATTGACAAATAATCAGTTTTCTAAAATTTTCTTGGAAAAAATATCTCCAAGCTTTTACCATTTACCTCGACAATGTTAACTCCTTCTATTCAGGGTGAAAACCTTACATATATCTTCAAGTTAGAGTTAAGGCAGGCGAAGAAGTGACAAAAAACGGAAATGTCAATGAAAATACTATAGCCTTTTAACTTAATAACAAACTTTGACTTGAACAGAAACTTCTTTTCTGTTATTTGTAATATATACTAACAATGTACTATCCTTTGATGGCATCATTGTATCATTTTTATCTTCTTTTTTCTTTCTGTCTCTCTCTCTCTCTCTCTCTCTCTCTTCTTGGAACAGAGATGTTCTTTCACAGAAAACAGAACAATGTTCAGTTATGCTCGATTCTGCACAAGAAAAGAAAGACAGATTTTTCTTATCTTGTTATTATGCGATAGTACTACCGACAGATAGCAAAGTTGATTATTAATTACACTTCCTTTTGTTTTCGTGTGTTGACTAATGTCATTTCCAAGATAAAAAAATACTGTCAAAGTTATTCAGTTTACATTAGACACGAAAGGTGTCTCAATCACTTTGAATGAACCTGTGTGCAATGACTTTTATTATCCGTGTTCAACATTTTCAAAAATAGTATCTACTCTCTTCAAAAAATCGTCATTTTCATCGCACTAAGTAGTAATCAAATCAATTCATCATCAAGAAAAAAAGTTTTCATGAAAAAGTAATAATATAAGAAAGTTATTTATATCATACACTTTTGAAGTACTTATTCTTTTCGATAGTCATTTAGTAAATATTAGATGTTGATTGTTTGTCGTACTCTTTGACAAACAAAGTCGGGCAAGAATATAACATGATTCTGTTCATTAATCGTGTTTAATATATTTTATGTAACCGTGATTAAATTGTTTTATAGGTAATTCCAATATTGTAGATGAAAAGTTCTACTTTATCAGCCTGGTCAATTGTATCTCTATATCTAATCAAGGTTTTACGTTACATCTTCATGACTATTTAAATGAATGTAGAACATCATAGAAAGCCTAGATATGATTTCTTATTGAATTTAACTGATGCAGCGTAATAGATGCATATCGTATTGTCAATAGAGATTAGATGAGACGTTGATGAAATTATAATAACAATGAGATATATCTCATATTTTTTTATTTGAGAGAAAGACGACCGTGTTAGTCTAAGATTGCTGTAGAATATATATATATATATATATTCTTTACATTTAGATTGAAAAATAGAGGTCTCATATTTATTTCCTATAACCCACCTATATAAATAATTTAAGTAATAATCAATCTAGAATATAAATGACTATTTTCGAATAAATAATAAAAACACTGTCATGAAGCATCTTACCGGCAAAACAAGAAGCTTAATGATGCACACTCAATTTCACTGATATAAGTAAACATATAAATTAGACGTTAGAAATGCATTCAAAGGTACTTGAGCTTTAGTTCATCATGTAGAACATGAAAGAAAATATAGATAATAAGAGATACACAACCTTTTTCATCATGAAAATCGACTATTTTCTGTTTGAGACGTTTCGTCTTTATTCAAAAGACATCCTCAGTCAAATGTCAAATCATTTGACTGAGGACATTTGAATCATTTGACTGAAGACATTTGAATCAT